AAAAATCACACACAAAAAAAATAGTAAAATCAACAACAAGAAAGATTCTGCTGAGGATATTGAGAATAGTAGCGAGGAGACCGAGTCCCAGGAGGACGAAAATGAGAGTAATGAGGATCAGGATGAGGGCAACACTAGTAGCGAGGAGCAGGAGGCCAACCAGCAGGACAACAAGATCGAGCAGAGTTCTGCGGCTGGCGCAGCTGCTGTGACGTCGCCAACAACCACCAAACCGACGACAACCACTGTGCGGACAACAACAACCACTGTGAGGCCCAAGTCCAAGAAGTCCTTTGGCTATCTCCATCGCAGCCTGCCCGAACGACAGTGGACTGGTCCCGATAATGGTGTGCTGGTCACGACGCGCATCAGCAGCAGCGTCAGCAGCAGCAGCGGCAGTGGCAACAGCAACACCAACGATGACCCCACAGCAACATCAACTCCCAAACCCAGAACAACAACCACACAAACACCGAACCTATTCCAATTGTATACACACGAACTACGCAAACAAATCGAATACTATTTACACATGCTACAGACACAACAACATGCTACCAAATTGCAACCAGAACAACAGCAACAGCAGTCACAACAACAACAGTCGATAGTTGAAATCCCTTTGGTACAAAAACGCCTTACAAATTATAGTGTAACCAGCAGCAGCAGCAGCAGCAGCAACAACAACGGGGCAAAGCAACAGCCGCCGAACAAGGATGAGAACCAGAGACAGCAGCAGCAGCAGCAGCAACATCTCCAGGAGCAGCAGCAACTCCAGGATGGGCTGCCCGATGAGGAGAACGAGGCGACTGCCGGCATTCAGAGCAATGAAGCGATTGAGCGGCAAAAACGTAAGTTCCCCACACCACCCACAGCGGCAACCAGTGCTGCACAGACATCAGCAACATCGGCAGCATCGGCAACACCCACACCAGCAACATCAGCGACATCAGCAACACCCGCCAAATCGATAACAACTTCATCATTTCTCGATGCGTACTTTAAAAAACTGCAAGCCTTGCATGATGGTGAATCGGCAACCACCAGCACAACCACCTCCGTATCGTCATCAGTCAGCTCGGCAACATCCAGCAAGCAGCAGCAGCAGCATGCACAACAGCAGCAGCCAGATGGCAGCGCCTTTTTGAAACGTACGCCCAATCGGAGTAGTATTAAGGCATACAAACCTAGTAGTAGCAGTAGTAGTAACAGCAGTAGTCAGCCACAACAGCAACAATATGCGACAAACTATATTGGCGACACCACAAACAATCTGCCAGCGGTGTTGGACAACAGTAACAGTGCGTCAAGCACCACGGAAACCGCAAAGAAACCCAAAATCAAAACACAAAAACTAATACGCCGAACACGAGTCATGTAAAAACGATCCATGGAGATGCGGCAGAAAACTCTGATACCAACTATCATAAGCTACTACTTACTGCTAGCCAGAAGCTGCTTGAGAAAACGAACATCCCCAAACGAACAAGAAGGCTCCCCAACAACATCAAATACAAATCCACATACACTAAACAAAGCAACACACGCATCACACACAAGTAAATGCCAAACCGATCGAAACCGAAACCGATACAGATTCCGATACCGATACCCGAAACCGTTACCGATTCGTTATCCTTGCGTGCGGTAAGCCTAAAACCAATCCAGCATACAAATCGGGTTCTTAACTCCCCCTAGTAGTCTAAAGCTTTGTCCTAAGGTTCGCTACGAACTGCAAGTACAGCATGGATGCGCGATAGTTTTAGTAGTATTCTTATCTATTATGCTGCCTGCCCTTTTATAAATAAATAAATTTAATCCTGGTTGTTGAAGTTGGCAAAACAAAATGCAAGTGCTAAACTCATGCGTAATGGTCCATTTAGCTGTAATATGGATTACCCTCGTATTTTAAGCATTTGGCATCTGGCATTATTGCATCGTTCACATTTAATCTTGTAGTATGGAAACGCTTTAAAAGCGTTCCGAATAGTAGTTCTTGAATCTTAATTTTGGCATGTACTTAAGAATAATTTAGTATACCATTTTAGTCCACAAAATTTGAACCGTAATCATTGTCTCCGAAAGGCAGGCAGAACTCGATTAGGACATTCGCATTCACACATCCGCAGACCTCATAAAGCATGCTTAAAGGTAAACTCTCATACCACCCTCTACCAAAGTCGACGATCAGAGTCCCATTGCTGATTTTTCTATTTTGCGCGGTTAATTTCTCGCTCTCTTTTATCTAAAACTGCATCAAACACTCGCCCCTACACATAAAAAAAAACAATAAAATCGAATTAGAAACAAATTGGCATTGAAACATGCACACACATATCAGCATACAAACATACACGCTCTTTCTCTCACACCACCACACAAGCATACACACTGATTGAAGGCAAAACCAAAAGAAATTATATCGAAACATCTATAACTGTAGCAATTAAGTAATATATTTGATCTACAAGAATGGCATGGAGTCAGAAACGCATTTTGCATACTAAAACTAAGAAAGAAAAATGGCAAAAGTGAAACAGAGTAACTTGGCAAATGGAAACGCATGGAATGGAACACACGCACATACCACACAACCACCCACACAATTCAGAATGGCCGGCGTCTGCAAAACTATCTTTTAACTGCATACCAAATAAACCTCCAAGAATAGCTCATTGTTTTTGCACGCCCCACGCGAATTGTATTTTCCATTATCACTAATTTTCTTTGTTTTTCTTTTCTGTTTCCTCCCGCTTCCGCTTGCGTTCCGTTCCCGCATTCCACAGTGGTTAACTGGAAGCTGTTTCCGTTCTAGTGAAAGTGCATGAAAGCAACATGGGGAACGTTTGGAACTGGCACGCAGACGTCACTGCCATCGAAATTGGAACAAATGTTTGCAGTTAAAAGTGTTTTTAGCTAGAATTTATTACTATTATAATCTGTAATCTGTATGAAACCCTATTGATTTGTTGTTAGTTCTAGCCGCAACTAATTTAAAATAGTGTCTGTTAAATGCAACTCAAGCAACAAAGGCAAGTTGTTATGTTCAGTACATGCATATATTATGTAATTTAATTTAATGAAAATTCTTGTAAAATAGTACATATTACTCTGTAAAAAGTTCACCTACGCACGCACTTTTGGCAGAATCAACCTAAATTATTCTTTGAGCCACAAAATCAATCGAAAGGAAAATTAATAATAATCCCACTTTTCCAATGTGATAAACATATATAATTTGTACCCTTTACTTAACAAAATATTTATCATTTTCTGTTAGAAAATTGCTAGAAAGGTTGAGAATGATTTATTTACCTACCTTGCCGCACTTTGCCTACAAGAAAACTTAAATTGTTCATTCATTATTGTATTAAATTTTTTAGAAGTCTAAATTCTAAAACAAAATTCATCTCTACGTTTACCTAGCCTAATGCTCTTTTTATACAGCAATGAAAAAAATGTAATAGCTAAGTTTTAGTTGTAGTTAACTGAACATCGTATAATAAATGAAACTGTAAATTTATCACACACACAAAAGAAACAAAAAATTAGTTTAAGAAAATATATATATAAAAAAGATTTATTTGTACAAAATGGTAAAGCTTTTTCATTTAAGGGGGCCATCTGTATATGGAATGCCTAAAAGTATGCTTTGTAATTTTATATTCCTTACTGATTGTATAAAAAAGATAAATAATTTTAAAGTGGTTTTTAGTCTAGCAAGATGATAAAAGCATAGATGATAAATTTTATTTGCAGCCAACAACAAGTACAGTTTTTCTTATCGCTAGCTTAGAAAGTGACACAGCGCTATACGAAAAGTCCAATCACCAAAAAGTACATAACTTAATCAATACAGCAATTAACATGTGTATGTAAATGAAAAGTAAGGTAAAAAATCTCCTGGCAAGTCCAGCATTTCGGGGTCTATGACATTGAAATCCATTTAGGCACCCTTTGTGGGGGTTGGCATAAGGTAGCGATTGTAGGTGGCCACATTTTTAACCAAAGCGGCAACGGAGAGCATGCAGACCACGCCGGCGGGCATTAGTTTTCCGGAACGATTCCACCGGGCGCCCATTAATCCGGCCAAGAACAAGGAGGTGCCCAGTTGGAGCAGGGGGCGTGGCGTCTCCTGGGAGTTCAAGTGAGCTCCATAGCCAAGTAGGGCTCCAAAGGCCAGACCGGCACCCAAGGAGGGTATGGAACCTGGTGGTAATACATGAGGTTGCACAATAGATTTTGAAAGCCCATGTGAGCAAGGGGATCCTAACTCACCCGCCTTGGCGAATCCCATAACTCCTCCGGCGGCCACCGTGGCAGCGTAGACATAACCGAACCAATCCACCGGCATTTTATTTTAATCTCCTTGAATTACTTGGTAACCTTTGTTTTGGTGGCAAATTTACATAGGTCTAATATGACCCTCTTGTTATAGCTCGATAATCTCAACTTTGAACCGAAAAAATAAAATATCTGGCATCACCATTATTAAGTGGCGGTCATTTTAAACATTGCTGCACGTTATTTCTTAATGAAAATATTCACAACGGGTTAAAAAAAACCGTTTAATCAGCAAGCGTTAGTTCCCAAGAATTTGTAAATACTTTAGTTTTCATAATACAATAAAATGTGTGTAATAGACAAAACATTTCGATAATGTAGTAGTATATGTAGAGGTAAGAAAACAAATTAAATGAAAGTCTAACTTTTTTTTGATTGTAAAAGGATCATACTAAATCATAAAGCGAAATAAAAATATTACGTTTCTATAATATATATACCCACATCTATGTCAACATTTTATAGGGAGAACACCAGAGAATATCCCTCTTCTAAGTGGCGCCCATAAGGGTGACTATACTTTTGGTATATTTTGTTTGATTCATGCAAACAATTTTGAGCCCCAACTTAAAAACATTTGGATATCTTGCTGACATTTTATTCAATATTTCTGGAAATTCAGATCTGTGAATTGCCTTTAAATGGACTTAATATCCTTAGAATCGACCCCGGCGACGACGAACAACGCGCTGGACTGGTCGCCTTTGACGACGTCCTGTTTCGCGCCTAACCTCGCGAATCTCCCGGCGAAACTCTTGGCGGTTCCGCCGCTCCTCTTGCCTCAAATCCCTCACCTGTCTGTTAATCCTGTTTACCCGGCGATTCAACCTGTTTATCTCGTCGTCGGTGCTGGAGCTACTGTCACTGGGAGTGGTGGGCGAAGTCGGAGTAGCGGGCGAGGCCGGCGAGGCTGGGGAGGCGGGCGGCGTGGCTGGCGATGCGGGCGGCGTGGCGGGCGGAGTGGCTGGCGAGGCGGGCGGCGTGGTGGGCGAGGCGGGAGGCGTGGTGGGTGATGCGGGCGGCGTGGCGGGCGCGGCGGGCGGCGTGGTGGGCGAGGCTGGTGGTGTGGCTGGTGGTGTGGCTGGAGCGGTTCCTTGGGCGTAGGCAGTCGCAGCAAGGGCCAATAGGCCAAAGGAGATGACGAATTTGGAGCACATCTTCAGTTCTGTCTGTCACTTAACTGTGTATATTGTGCTTGAAGATCGAGTTTTTATAGGGAAGATCTCAATTGATTTGGTCTGATTGCTGAATCTGTGTTTGCACTGGAGGATCTTTATTTGCTTAAAAAACAAATAGATTCAATTCACAATGCGGGGTTTAAAGATGAGTACAATTAAAAGGTAAAGCTGGCTGTGGAATGTTTTTATCTACTCGTATAGAACAATACATTTTTGGATTGCCTGCTACCAATAATGTATTGTTAGCAAGTGTTTAAATACAGACACTTTGGATAACAAATAGATGAACACCTACTGTTTATTTACTTAAGTTTCTAACAAAGCACCTAAACTGAAAATAATATTTTTATAATCGCGAGCTTTTCACAACTAAACAAACACTATTGGTCTAACACAAATTTAAGCTTGAATGTAGGCATATTTTCTAATGGGTCCAATTCGACCAATACACATATCATTAAACGCCTTAAAAATCTTTAATAGACAAACTATTGGGTGGGCAAGAAAGTCATGTCGTTTTTTTTAGTAATCGTTTTTAATCTAATTTATTTACGACTAATCGAGCACCAGGGTCACACTTTTTAGTATCGTTTTAAAGCTTATTGTCTTAGGTACTATCGACGAAAATTTGGTAATTATTCGATAACATTTGTGGAAGCTATAGCAAATTAAACATGGAGGACCAAAGTGAGCATTTTCGGCATATTTTGCTTTTTTACTTCCGAAAAGGAAAAAAAGCGGTCGAAGCTCGCGAAAAATTGTGCGAAGTGTATGGTAAAGATGCCATGAGTGATCGCCAATGTCAGCGCTGGTTTGCCAAATTCAGGCTTGGAGATTTTGGAGTTAAAGACGCCCCACGTTCTGGTCGACCATCGGCCGTTTTTGACGAACAAATTCAGGCTTTGCTGGATGAAAACCGGCGCTATTCAACGCGGGAGATGTCAGAGAAGCTCAGTGTGTCGCATACAACGGTTGAAAACCATTTGAAGAAACTTGGCTACGTAAGCAAGCTCGATGTTTGGGTTCCGCATAACTTAAAGGAAATTCACCTAACTAAGCGTATCAACATCTGCTATTCTCTGCTGCAACGGATTAAAAACGATCCTTTTTTGAAGCGGATCATTACTGGCGACGAAAAGTGGGTTGTTTACAATAATGTCCAACGAAAAAGATCATGGAGCAAGAAAGATGAGCCAGCCCAAGCCACATCAAAGGCCGATATCCATCAGAGGAAAGTTATGCTGTCTGTTTGGTGGAATTGGAAGGGTGTAGTGCACTTTGAGCTGCTGGGACGGAATGAAACCATCAATTCAGATGTGTACTGTCGCCAGCTATCCAATTTGGCGGAAAAAATTAAAGAAAAGGAGCCGGCACTAGCTAATCGCAAGGGTATAGTCTTTCACCATGACAACGCTAGGCCCCACACATCTTTGGTCACTCGGCAAAAATTAACGGAGCTGAATTGGGAAGTGCTACCACATCCACCTTATAGTCCGGACTTAGCACCTTCAGATTACCATTTGTTTCGCTCTCTTCAAAACTCTTTGAATGGTAAAAACTTTGATTCAGATGAGGCTGTCGAAAACCACTTGTCTCGATTCTTTGCTGGAAAAGACCAAAAGTTCTTCGAGCGCGGAATTATGCAGCTGCCCGAGAGATGGTCATTAGTGGTCGAACAAAACGGCCAATACATAATTGATTAATTATAAGTCCTGATATAAATAAATCATCTTTGAAAATATTGAAAAAAAACGACATGACTTTCTTGCCAACCCAATATCTACTAACATTACATCTACAGACATGTGCAACATGTGTTTTAAATGACATCCACGACAACTAACACTATCTGAGTACTGAATTTCTTTAGCATCACCAGTTTCGCGAAAAAAAGAGTTTGAAAATATTTGTATTGAAATATATCTACTTAATATTTTATTAACAAGGGATAAAGGTTAGATGAGTGCCTTCACTATTCAGCTAACCAATTTAACTTATAAACTAATGGTCTTAAGCTATTTAGATATTGATTTTAAAAAAAAATGCGATATTAAATAAAATAAAAATCTTTGAAAAGGGTGGGAGCCACAAACTTTTTCGTTTTGTGGGCGCTGGGGCCGGCGTGACAATCGGCTGAAGAAAACATGGGCTACATAGGCCCTAGTACAATCTACATGTTAACTCTTAACACTCCATCTCGAAGAAGATGCTTAATTCAAACTTTGGTTCTGTCCATTATTACGTAATCACATAGGGGTAGGAGAATGTGGGCCAAATGATTACGCCTGGGAAACCGATAAAGTTTGTACTTAATAAATGTGGGTCAAACACAGGAAATATTATTTTTACGTAATATATGGACAGGCCCTTTCTAGCTTTAACAGTTTCCGAGATCTTGGCGGGAGGGACGGACGAACAGACAGACACAGCGAGATTGACTCGGCTAGTGATCCTGATCAGGAATATTATATAAATACTTTCCGACGAATACAATAAACCTTATTCTACGAGTACAACCGATCCTTTCTTAGGTTCCTGGTCCTGAAGATTTAAAATAAGAAAAAATAAAAGAGACTTTTGTTTCACTTTTTAAAACATCTCGCTGGCTATGCGGGAAAATTTTAGAAATCGTATTTTGTTGGTTTAATTTATATTATGATATAATTTGATATCAGAGCTTCTGCAGGTTAAGAAGTACGTTTGCTAGAGTAAAATAAAATATATTTTCAAGAAAGGGGTTGATGAAAACGAAGATCTTTGAATAGAGATTTTAGGTACCTCACCCAAAATATAAGGTAAAACTTTGCTCTTTACATAACCATTTTATTTATTTATGACAATTAAGTTTTTGAATGTTACTTCTTAACCCCGACGGTTGCGCCTCCTCGCAGCGCGCCTCGTCTGGATTCTTTCTTGCTGATTCGCTAGGCGAGCCTCCTGTCGCCTTTCCCGTCGTCTCAGTCGGCGTGTCAGCCTGCGCTGCCTGCGAAGCTCGTTCTTCAGCTTTGTCACCTTGCTGGAGGTCGAGGAAGACGTGTCACTGTCTGAGGAGGTACTGGTCGAACTGGAAGAAGTGGGTGAAGTCGAGGAACTTGAAGGAGTTGAAGTCGAATTTGAAGTTGTCGAGGAAGTGCTTGGATCCGACGTGGTAGAATTCGATGTTGACGAAGGATCAGATGTGGTAGAAGACGATGACGACGAAGGATCAGATGTGGTGGAAGACGATGACGATGAAGGATCAGATGTGGTGGAAGACGATGACGACGAAGGATCTGATGTGGTGGAAGACGACGACGACGAAGGATCAGATGTAGTTGAAGACGACGACGAGGATGGATCTGATGTGGTGGTTGCGCCGTATACAGACGCCACGAGAGCCACAATAGCAAGGGCAAGGACTATTTGGGATCGCATCTTTAGCTCTGTGTATCACTCACTGCAGCCAAGAACTGTACAGACTCCGACTTCAACCCGAATATTTATAGCGAATATCTTAAATGTTGTGGTCCAATAGCAGAATCTGTGCTTGTTTTTAATCATTATATGTGGCGCGTGGCCCAGGTGGCCATTTGTTTGAGAAGTCTAAAAATGACTGTGGAAAGTTTTTGGTTTCGCTTTAAACAATAGAGAATTTGCCGATTTTTTGCGTTAGTCTGTTGCCAGCGAGTGTGCAAATACAGGTACAAAAACAGAATTCCTTTTCGCCTCTGAGAGATCGTGATAAACATTGCTAAATAAATAAGTATAAAAAGTTAGCAATTTAAAGGAAATTAAAGAGACAATTAAATGTCTAAGTAATAAATTATAGTTTTTAATATCTGAAAAATGTAAACTGCATAAAAAAGAGATTCTGCTTCTTTAAAAATAAATAATATTTTTTTAATATTGTTAAAATTAAACTAAACCAAATAAAAGAAATGCAATATCAATAAAGGAAGTACGAGGGAGATGGAGATATGCTTGCATTAATCGGCTGTTTCCGAGATTGCACACTTTATTTGCTCATAACTTTGTAATGAATTTTCCAATTTGAACAATTATTTGCATGTAGATGAATATTGATAATCAGAACAAAATCCCGTTTACACTTTTACAAAGGTCTTATCGTTATGGGCGTTAGAGTGGGCGTAGCACCCTGCGGAAATGAACTTGCGCTGCGTGAGATCTCTATGTGGATCTGCGATTAAGCTTTCAGATCTGCTATTAAGCTTTCAAAGGCCATTTTCAAGGACTTTAATATCCTAAGAATCTTTACAGGCGCTGATTTTGTCGCCTTTGTCGACGTCCTGATTGGCGTCTAATCTGGCGAATCTCCTGGCGGTCCTGGCGCCCCCTGGCGGCTGATTCGGTTCAACCGTTTTCTAAGCCTGCGAACCTGGCGCTCCAACTTGGTCACCTCCTCGTCGGTGCTTGAGTTACTGTCGCTGGGAGTGGGCGAAGAGGGCAGCGTGGAAGAGGTACTTGGTGGGTCGTTGGTGACATCGGCGAGGTGCTTGGAGTGGTGGGGAAAGTCGGCCAAGTGGGCTAGGTTGGCGAGATTGAAGTTGATGGAGCTTCTCCTGCGGAGGAGGCAGTCGCAGCAAGGGCCAACAGACCAAAGGCGAGATCGAATTTGAAGCCCATCTTCAGTTCTGTCTGTCACTTAATGGAGTACAGTGTAAATTCTGCTTTAAGATCGAGCTTTTATATAGAAGATCTCAAGTGATCTGGTCTGATTGCTGAATCTGTGTTTGCTGTGGAGGATCTTTATTTGCTTGCGAAAAATAATCAGAATCAATAGTCTAAAAAAAGATGAGACGAGTTCAAAGCTAAAGATGGCTGTGGAAAGTTTCTATGTATTCATATGAAACAACACATTTTTGGATTGGCTGCTTCTAACAATATGTTGTTAGCAAATGTGTAAATACAGGCACTTTGTATAATAAATAGATGAACACCTACTGTTTATTCACTTGGGCTACTAATCCATCACCTAAAGTGCAAACAATATTTTAATAATCGCGAACTTTTTAAGACTGATCAAGCTTTTATGAAAGATACACTATTGGTCTAATAAAAATGTACGCTTGAATGTAGGCTTCATATTTTTTTTTAATGAGGCAGTGAGTACCGGATATTTTCAACAGGTATTCGACCAATTCTTGGAAATTATCATTTTTGTAAGTTAAGTGGAAAAGCATATTCCAAAAGCTTCTCAGCCACCAAAAATATAAAATAACTGAAGAAAAGATGGGCTTCATAGCCACTAGTAGAATCTGCAACTCAAATATTAACTCGGTAGTTTTCCGATTTCGCAAATTAGCTTTACCTAGAGCCGATGACTTAAATTACTGACAACCTGTAACATTTTGGCGCGAAACAGATATTGGCGTATGGGCGTTAAATTGAGCGTGGAATAACAACAGAATAACATACTTGTGATGAATCAAACACTTGAACATTTTCATGTGAAGGCCCAACTCTTTAGTCATATTTATTTTACGAAAATTCAGAGTCCACATAGACAGACAGACTTGGCAAGTTCGAGTCGGAAAGTGAACCTGATCAAGAATGACGAAACTTTCCCAGAAGTCTTTTTTCTAATGCAGGTAGTATATAAGTCGGAACGAGCCGAATCGGACAAATATATCCAATAGCTCATATGGAGTGTTTTTAATATATAAACTTCTACTCCTAGGAATATCCATCTTTTCTTCTTTTTTCATATACCTGCCATAGGAATGATCGGATAATTAATGTCGAAGTATTACATAGACCATTATATTTCGTTTTCGGTAAACATACACGGTAGTAAATTGAACTGAAACATTATCTTAAAACTTTTATAATTAGTTTTTAGTTTTCTAAAAATAGGAAAACTCTGTACATAATGCTCCCACCTGAACGACCTGCAAGGTTATAGAAACTTTGGCGTACCGAGGTTAGCTTAATTCCTTGTTGGAGATATTGTAAAAGGGTAAGTGGGATTTTATTTTTTTTATCAATACTCAACTTTTTTACAAATGGGTCCACTCAATAAGAAGTTGTGACCAAATATGGTAATCTAGCTTCGTCTCCCTTGCTCTCCCTTTGGCTGAGTTACTGGTATTCGACTATAAGATTCTTCTTAAATTTTTGTAGAAAAAGTTTTGTACCCGATGCATAAGGTTTGAAGAAAACGGTGATGCTGAAAACCATGTTTCAGGTGAGATATTAGGTACCCGACCCTCAATGTATGAGAAAGCTTTGCTCTTCACATAATCATTTTATTTTTTTTTTTTTTCTTGACAATTTTACTTTGGAATTTTACTTCCTAACCCCGACGGTTGCGCTTCCTTGCAGCAAGCCTCGTCAGGCGTCTTTTTTGCTGATTCTCTCGGCGAGTCTCCTGACGCTTCTCCTGACGCCTCAGCCGACGTCTCAGTTGGCGCCTCAACCTGCGCTCCCTGCGAAGCTTCTTCTCCAGCTTTTTCACCTCGCTGGTGGTCGAGGAAGACGTGTCACTGGTCGTACTGGAAGAAGTGGGCGAGGTTGATGCTGTTGATGAAGTGGGTGTGGTCGTCGAATTCGTGGAACTTGAAGGAGTTGAAGTCGAATTCGAAGAAGTTGTAGTTGCCGAGGAAGTCGAATTCGAGGCAGTTGAAGGTTCCGAGGAAGTAGAATTCGAGGCAGTTGAAGGTTCCGAGGAAGTAGAATTCGTGGTGGTTGCGCCGTAAGCAGACGCCACGAGAGCCACAAGACCAAGGACGAGGAATAGTTGGGATCGCATCTTTACCTCTGTATATCACTCACTGTACTCAAGAACTGTACAGACTCCGGCTTGAACCCGAGTATTTATAGCGAATATCTTAGATGTTGTGGTCCAATTGCAGAATCTGTGCTTGCTCTTAATCATTGTATGTGGCACGTGGCCCAGCTGGGCATTTGTTTGAGAAGTCTAAAATTACAGAGGAAAGTTTCTATTCACGTATATTTGTCTAACTAAGCAATGGAGTACGAAGTGCTCAAACAATGGTGAAAAAACAGAAAGCTTGTACTAAGAAATCATGGATTAAAAAAAATGTTTAAAAAGCAACAGTCATGATAATAATAAGTTGGGATTTGAATGGTGGAAAAACAAAGATGTAGGGGACTTTTGTATTGTTCTTGGTCCTCGACATAAGATAAAGTGCTCTACTTGCGTTTTGGCCGATATGTAGAGAATATTAATTTCAGCCAAGAAATTGGAAAGGGAGATATTTTGTAGAATTTCAAAGACGTTAAAGATCAAAAAAAAAACTGTCGAAATGAACAATATTTTTGCAAAATATGAAACAGATGTAAGAAATCTTTTTCGACTCAAGATTATATATTATTGATCTTAACGCTGTGATCTCGGAAACGATGAGAGCTTGAGCTTATTACACCGATGTGCCACGCCCACTCTAACGCCCACAAACCACCCAAATCATTGGGTCCTACAGTTTTAAAGCTAGATAAAAAATTGTAGCTAATATGTATTGCTCTCGTAAACACCTATCGATTGACAAAAAAAAAATGCTGCCATGCCCACTCTATGTCCCACAAGCCGCCCACAAACTTAAAAATAATCCTAGTCTGATACCAAAAGGTTCTTAAATCCATCTATAGATCGGTATTTTCGATTCTTGTCGAATTTTTGACAATGAAAATGATTTATTTAAGCTTGAAATACTTGATTTTTTCTGAGTGTGGGATATTTAGAGTTTAAACCTACTTTAGGCCTAACAAGTAATGGCAAACTAAATGAAACCTTCTTTGCTTTTGACCTGAGTTCGCAAAAAAAACCTTCTTCGTTCAAGACATTGCTCTCTCTAAGGTGACAAAAGCATATGTTTTTTGCGGTTATTTAAATAGGTTGAACTGCTAAGTCCGCTAGAAGAATAACTCAAATTGTAGACAATAGCAACAAATACATGATAGCACACTTGCCAAAAATAAACTAGATCTAACAATTCCACAATGTCTCTATTATTTTTTGTACAAAGATATTTTCAACAATTATCTGCGGAGATGTCTATAAAGTCCCCTACCAAAGCACTTGCAGTGTATGATGATTTGGAGCAAATACACCATTTTAGTTAGTCCCTATAAATACTCGACTTTACGTCAGAGAAGGCACACTACTTAAGTGCAGTGATAGATAAACAGAGCTAAAGATGCGATCCCAATTCGTCCTGGCCTTTGCTCTTGTGGCTCTTGTGGCTGTTTATGCCGCAGACACCTCAAGTACCACCACATCCGATCCATCATCCTCAACCTCTTCCACTTCTTCAACTCCTTCGAATTCAACATCCTCGACTTCTTCAACACCTTCGAGTTCGACTAACTCCACAAGTCCCTCCAGCACTTCTTCGACTTCAACTCCCTCAAATTCAACCACCTTGACTTCGACCACACCAACGGCTAGTACCTCGCCCACTACCTCTTCGTCCTCCACACCCACTGCCTCCACCTTGACGTCCTCGGGATCCAGCAGCAAGAAGTCGTCGTCGTCCAAGCGCCGGGCCAAGCGTCTCCGGCAGAAGCGCCGTGAAAGGCGTCGCGAAAGGAGGCAGCGCCAGCGCCAGCGCAACCGTCGCAGTTAAAAATGGATTCCCTGGAAAATATGTTTGGAAGTCGTATCCTAAGATAAAATAGTCACAAGCAAATAAAATTGTTATACAAAAACGAAAAAGTTTTACAGTTACTTGGGAGGGCACACAAAGTATTAGGTAATATTAAATCAGTTACAGTATATCTACAAACAGAACTTTGAAAAAATGTATCATACATATAGGTATCAGAACCTCTTATATTTTTTAAATATTTAATATTAGGCAGACTTTTTAGGGATTTCTTTACTCTTTATACCTTTGGTCTGAAATTTTTTTTGCGTTCCAGTCAGGCAAATTGCCGATTCTAAGTCACAATGGTTTTAAAGTCACAGGTAAAGGTTTTAAAAGGTATGCCAAAATATATCCGGAAGACCGAAAGATAACGTACCTATCTGCTATTAAGCTTCCATTCATGTTTTTGGAAAACTCATTTATCAGATTCTGAAATTGGTCCAGTTTTCAAAAATAATGATAAAAACTTAATAAAAATCTCAACCTTACATTTGGATTGTAGGGGTACTTTACTTTGGTCCTTGTTATTTCCAGAATCAAATAACATTTGTATTTCTTTTAAGCATTTTATTTAATATTTGTGGCCATATAGATCCATGATTGCGCTTTGATAGGCCTTTTCAAGGACCTTCAAATCCTTAGAATCAACCCCGGCGCTGACGGTTTCCGCGCCGGTTTGGTCGCCTTTGACGACGTCCCGATTGGCGCCTAAGCCGTTGAATCTGCTGGCGACTCCTGCGCTCCTGACGTCTGGCCCTCCTCACCTGACCTCGGAGCAGGCGAACCTGGCGCTGCGCCCTGGCCAGGTCCTGGGCGGTGGTGTCGCTAGTGTCACTGGCAGCGGGGGAATCACTGGGAGTGGTGGAATTACTGGGTGAAGAGGGAGGCGTGGAAGGACTACTTGGCGAGGCCGGCGAGGTGCTTGGAGTGGTGGGCGAAGTCGGAGAAGCGGGCGAGGACGGCGTGGAGGGTGAGGCGGGCGGCGTGGCGGGCGGAGTGGCTGGCGAGGCGGGCGGCGTGGCGGGCGATGCGGGCGGTGTGGTGGGCGAGGCGGGTGGCGTGGTGGGCGAGGCTGGTGGTGTGGCTGGGGGTGTGGCTGGAGCGGTTCCTTGGGCGTAGGCAGTCGCAGCAAGGGCCAAGAGACCAAAGGCGATGACGAATTTGGAGCACATCTTCAGTTCTGTCTGTCACTTAACTGTGTATATTCTGCTTGAAGATCGAGTTTTTATAGGGAAGATCTCAATTGATTTGGTCTGATTGCTGAATCTGTGTTTGCTTTGGAGGATCTTTATTTGTCTAAAAAACAAACATTAAATTCTCAATGCGCGGTTAAGAGATGAGTCGAGCTAAAAACTAAGGTTCCTTTGTATTTGAATTGAACAATACGATGTTTTTGGATTGGCTGCTACTAATAATGTATTGTTAGCAAGTGTGTAAATACAGACACTTTGGATAATAAATAGATGATCAGCTTTTGTTTATTCGCTTGATCTACTAAATCGGCACCTAAACTGCAGACCATATTTTTATAATCGCAAGCTTTTCACGAATGAGCAAGCTTTTATGTAAAAACACCATTTCAGCTTGAATGTAGGCTTCATATTTTCTAATGGATCAGTAAGTACCGGGTGTCTCCCCGACCATTTTTTGGTATCTATTTTAGGGACTTGCAATTTTGAAAACTCACGCTTGTTATGCGGGAAAACATTTTTAAGTACATAGATAAGCCTGAACGACTCATCTACAGACATGTGCTTTATCAAGAACCCCCACATTTTTGATTTTTGAAGAATTTGTTTCAGTTAAATTCAAATTGATTTACTGATCAATACTCGTACCTATCTGAATGCTGAGAATCGAACTAATCGCGTTTTTATTTTAGACGTTATGAAAAATGAATGAAATGAATAGTACTGGTACCGTCCGCTAGGTGGGGTGTTCCGCGCTAATAGAAATGCCCTGGAATTTTCTTTTTTAAATAATTTGGAACAGAGTAACGGGTAACTGATAGTCGAGGTTTAGACTATAGCGTTTTTTCTTGGTAAGGAATTGGTTCAGTGTACCTTCTATTTTATTTTTATGTGTCAATATCTACGTTGCTTAAATCTAATCATTAGTTAAGAAGTTACATTTGTTAGCAGAGTAACTATAACGGTCTCTTTGCTTAAAATTATTTTGTAGATACAAACGGTTTAATTTCAAAACACGTAGAGCACATGAGGTTGATCTATGTACTTAAAAATGTTTTCCCGCCTAACTAGCGTGAGTTTTCAAAATTCCAGGGCCCTTAAAAAGCGTTTAATGATAGATGCCGAAAAATTGTCGGGGACATAGAGGAGACACCCGGTACTTACTAATGCATTAAAAAATGTGAAGCCTACATTCAAGCTGAAATTCGCATTAGGCCAAAGGTGTTGTATTCATAAAAGCTTGCTCATTCGTGAAAAGCTCGCGATTATAAAAATATGTTTTGCTGTTAGGGTGCCGATTTAGTAGATCAAGCGAATAAACAAAAGCTGATCATCTATTTATTATCCACAGTGCCTGTATTTACACACTTGCTAACATTACATTATTAGTAGCAGCCAATCCAAAAACATCGTATTGTTCAATTCAAATACAAAGAAACTTTCCACAGCCGACCTTAGTTTTTAGATCGTCTCATCTGTTAGCCGCGCATTGTGAATTGAATCTGTTTGTTTTTTAGGTAAATAAAGATCCTCCAGAGCAAACACAGATTCAGCAATCAGACCAAATCCATTGAGATCTTCCCTATAAAAACTCGACCTTCAAGCAGAATATACACAGTACTCCGTTGAGTGACAGACAGAACTGAAGATGTGCTCCAAATTCGTCCTCGCCTTTGGTCTCTTGGCCCTTGCTGCGACTGCCTACGCCCAAGGAACCCCTCCAGCCCCACCATCAACTACGCCAGCTACGCCCACCACGCCCGCCACGACGCCCGCCACCCCCACCGCACCCACCACGACGCCCGCCACCCCCTCCTCCACCACCTCCCCCACCACAACCACCGCACCGCCCGCCTCCACCGCCTCGCCCACTTGTCGCCAGCTTAGGGGCCTATCGGGACGTCGTCGAGGGCGGCTGAACCTGCGCGGATTCCGTCGGCGCCGGGGTTGATTCTAAGGATTTGAAGGTCCTTGAAAAGGCCTATCAAAGCGCATTCATGGATCTATATGGCCACAAATATTAAATAAAATGCTTATGAAAATGAAATACAAATGTTATTTGAATCTGGAAATAACAAGGACCAAAGTAAGGTACCCCTACAATCCGAATGTAAGGTTGAGATTTTTATCAAGTTTTTAAATCATCATTATTTTTGAAAACTGGCCCAATTTCAGAATCTGATAAATGAGTTTTCCTAAATCATGAAAGGAAGCTTAATGGCAGATAGGTAAGTTATCTTTCGGTCTTCCGGATATATTTTGCAATACTTTTTGAAACCTTTATCTGTGACTTTAAAACCATTGTAACTTCGGATCGGCAATTTGTCTGACTGGAACGCATACAAAATTTCTGACCAAAGGTGTAAAGAGTAAAAAATCCTTTAAAAGTCTGCCTAATATAAAATTTTAAAAAAAATATAACAGGTTCTGATACCTATATGTATGATACATTTTTCCAAAGTTCTGTTTGTAGATATACTGTAACTGATTTAATATTACCTAATACTTTGTGTGCCCTCCCAAGTAACTGTAAAACTTTTTCGTTTTTGTATAACAATTTTATTTGCTTGTGACTATTTTATCTTAGGATACGACTTCCAAACATATTTTCCAGGGAATCCATTTTTAACTGCGACGGTTGCGCTGGCGCTGGCGCTGCCTCCTTTCGCGACGCCTTTCACGGCGCTTCTGCCGGAGACGCTTGGCCCGGCGCTTGGACGACGACGACTTCTTGATGCTGGATCCCGAGGACGTCAAGGTGGAGGTGGTGGGTGTGGAGGACGCAGAGGTAGTGGGCGAGGTACTAGCCGTTGGTGTGGTCGAAGTCGAGGTGGTTGAATTGGAAGGAGTTGAAGTCGAAGAAGTGGTGGAGGGACTTGTGGAGTTAGTCGAAGTCGATGGTGTTGAAGAAGTCGAGGAAGTCGAATTCGAAGGAGTTGAAGAAGTCGAGGAAGTCGAACTCGAAGGCGTAGAAGAAGTCGAGGATGTTGAATTCGAAGGAGTTGAAGAAGTGGAAGAGGTTGAGGATGATGGATCGGATGTGGTGGTACTTGAGGTATCTGCGGCATAAACAGCCACAAGAGCCACAAGACCAAAGGCCAGGACGAATTGGGATCGCATCTTTAGCTGTGTCTATCTATCACTGCACTTAAGTAGTGTGCCTTCTCTGACGTAAAGTCGAGTATTTATAGGGACTAACTAAAATGGTGTATTTGCTCCAAATGATCATACATCGCACGTGCTTTGAAAGGGGACTTTATTGCTGTCTCTGCAGATGACTGTTGAAAATATCTTTGTTTGTACAAAAAATAATAGAGATATTTTGGATTTGTTAGATCTAGTTTATACTTGGCAAGTGTGCTATTGTTGCTATTGTCTACAATTTGAGTTATTCTTCTAGCGGATTTAGCAGTTCAAGCTTTTTAAATAACCGCAAAAAAAAAACATATGCTTTTGTCACCTTAGAGAGAGCAATGCCTTGAACGAAGAAGGTTTTTTTTGAGAACTCAGGTCAAAAACAAAGAAGTTTTCATTTAGTTAACCATTATTTGTATGTTAGGCTTTAAGTGGACTTAAACTCTAAATATCCTACGTGTTTAACTTCAGTCCCTAAATTTAATTTTACCATCAGTACGAAAAGAGTTACAAACTAAAAATAAAGAACGCTGTAGTCGAGTGCAGCGACTTTAAAGTACCAGATTATCAGCTAAGGGAAGCGAAAGGGAGATGGAGATATGCATGCAGCAAATCGACTTTTCCGAGCTTGCATTATTCGGTCATAACTTCTTAATGTTCCCATATGAACAATTTGTAAATATGAATATTGGTATTAATAACCAAATTTTTAAAAATGTGGGCGACAGATTTAAACATTATGGGCATGCGTGGGCGTCCCTACATCATTCACGAGAGCAGTACATTCTAATTAAAATTCAAATTGTGGGGGCCACAGTTTTGGGCGATTTGTGCGCGTTAAAATGGGCGGGGCACACACGCGGCTAAGGGGTCTAAATAGTCTTATAGTTTCCAAGATCATTGATAACCAAACACAATATACCCATTTAATTTACATTATATATACCTCTGATATCCTTTTTAAATACGTCGCATTAATAGTCAAAAAGTAATAAACGTAAATTGTCAAATATAAAAAGCTCTCACCCAAAATGGTCTTACGTTTCAAAACACATTATATACCTACTCGGTTCGAGACAGTACATATTAACAAAATATGACATTCGTTAACGAAAAAGTCTATTTAACGGCTACTGTCAACAGAGAGTTGAACTTAGGAGAAACGCAAAAAAATTACAGATAAGTTTTATAAAAAAGAAAAGCAAAGTGTTGTGGAAGGACAAAAAAATTTAAGTGTAAAAGCCAATTTCTATTAGCTCACTTTTTCCCACACATAAGATTTCTTACTTCGACAGCTTCGAAAATTTCAAAAGATGACAAAGCAACCGGCAGGGAAATAAACGATTTGAAATGCGATAAGATGCTGTAGTGGAATCATGTCATAAACAGCGGTGGCACTGCGTAACGGTTACGTTGTGCGGCGTTGCCACCGGGCGTATAAAATACCAGGTAGACCGTTAGCCGGTATTTGCCCTGTTGGCCCGCCATGGCCACACCGGCCAACCGCCTCCGCCCGCGCCCCCGCGATTCCGTTGGTGGCTTTTCCTATGTTTGTGTTCGTGTGTTCGCGTTGGCGCTGTCATCATCATATCGCATCGCATCGCTCCGAAAAACCGTGCCAATTGTATACGTTTTTACCTCGCCAGCGAGTGTGTTTTGTCGCCCGCCGACCGACCGGAGTTTGAATTTATCGTTCGGCAGTCGGAAAGTTGCAAAGTGCCTTTAAAACAGTGCAACAAGTGGTTTTACACTTTTTACAAGCATTCAAAGTGCCTTACACACACACACACATACTTAACCTACCTGACCAGAGCGCATACGTATGTGTGTGCGTTACAACAACAACGAAAATAACTAACTGCTTTCGTCGCAGTTTTTCTGCAAGTGTATTAGTTAATTGCGCCGAAAAAAT